AGAAAGATATAGAAAAAGATGGGAAATAGAGAACGGGAAAGAGACAAATAAAATTTAAAAACCAAACGACATTAATAAACCATCTTGAAAAAGGCAAGCCACTAAATACACCTATAAGTTAAAAACAGTTAATGTTTATAACAGACAATCGGTTTACGAACGCAATACTAGCAGAAAATTTCGCTGAATCAATCGATACACAGTACAGGGTGGTTCGGAGCAAGCACCACGGTTTCATCGACACGGGTCAGTTTTATTGAATCAATCAGTCTAGAGTAGGTACAAGTGGTTTGAAGTAAGTACCACAACTTGATCAACAGTGTTTTTGTTGTATGTAGTAACTGTGAGATCGAAATTCAAACACTGTAACGACTTCAGTACGCAATCCTTTTATTCGCGCAACGCGTTTCGAGTCTTGCTCACATCAGGCGATCCTTAAGGTGCACAATAATTATATTATTAATATTGTTACAGTAATAAACTAAAGTTATAGAATACATGTTCAAAAGTTCCATACAAATACAAGAAAGTATTCGTTTTCTAACAGAGTGATCTCTATTTGGGACAATTTACCGACATGCGTTGTTGAATCAGATACTGTTTCCAACTTCAAGAAAAATTTTGACTTATATATGACCAACAAAGATTTTCTCTATGATCAAAAAATTGACATTGTTGTTTGATTGCTTTTTGTTGTCTTTTAGTGCTATTTTGATATGGGCATAAATAACTAAAGTTTAAGCCCATTATTTATTTTTATTTATTTATATTTATTTATTTATTTATAAATACAATCGACAATCGACGCAATATTATTTCTGTTAAATTTTAGTTAAGTTTCGTTATATACTTTATTTTAGTCAAGTTATTTATTATTTCTAGACGTATTCGTATATTTTACTGATATTATTATTACGCGGTTTTATAGAGTTTTATTGCGCAGTTATATAGAGTTATATAGAGTTGCGCAGTTATATAGAGCTATATAGAATTATATAGAATTGCGGAATTACAATAACAACAACAACATTTACAACAACAACAACAACAGTAACATCAACAATAACATTAAAGCTAGTCATCGATTGCGTTACTAATTAAATATGATAACAATGCTGTTTAATTCTTTAAAATATTTTGATTGCATTTTGTCATAAACAATAGAACATTCAATGTTTATAAAATTTTTCAGAGATAGAGATTTTAAAATTTAAATAAATCTCGTTAGAGGTAGGTGGGGGTGGGATGCTAAGAATTTAATGTGTAGTGGGAATCTGTCGTTGCCTGGCGTCTGGCGTTTAAAATTTAAAATTCAAAAAAATTTTTTGAAAATTGAAAATACGCCTTTTATTTACAAAATATAAATAAATTATTATTTTTTAATGATTCTTTAATTTTTTTAATTAAACTGATTTTTAATTGGTTAAATGATCAAGGAGATTTTAAAACTGGATATATCTAACTGAAATCATGTCTTGGACTTTGCTTCATCTCGTTACATCTTTATTTGGTTTTGTCTTTTGTTGTTGTTGCTGCTGCTGATGTTGTTGTTGTTGTTGTTGTTGTGTTTGTAAAAAGGATTGTGTTTCTTGTATCTGCCATTTCTGCTACATAATAAATCAACGATTAATTTTTTTTGATTTATAACTCAATCTTCTGTTCAAAAAATAGAAAGCCGACGTTTAAGTAGAATCAACCTCGCAAATGTACACATGTTAAAATCACCAACAACAACATTATCAAAAAGTGATGACGTCATTTTAGCATCATCAAAAATAACATCAACAACGTCACCAAGAGTGAAACATCATCGAAACATGAACGACGTCATCAACAATAACATCAACAACGATAAATTAAATAACGCAAAAAAAACAACAAAGGACAACAAAAATATAACTGCAAAACAACAACAACAACACAAACAATTTCAATATCGCCCACGCTGATTGGTGGAATAAAAATAGCTCATGAATAATTAATGAGCCGTTTTCTCATGCTATTGGTCAGCTCTGCGACCGCCTGACATTAAATTCCACAGGGAATTGGTTCGTCAAGTGTCATGTATACGTCACTATGGCGATGATGAGTGGCGGGAAAAGGAGACGAGAGATGGATGGACTGAAGGAAAGAGAGAAAGAGAGAAAGAGAGAGAAAGAAAAAGAGAAGGAGATAATGTACGAGTTGACGATAGTTATGAGATGATGATGAGGATGATGAACTAACCAGCAAACAAATAACGGAGTGAAAGGTGAAAGGGGAATGGCGAATGAATAAATGAATGAACGAATGAATGAATGAATGAATGAATGAATGAATGAATGAATGAATGAATGAATGAATGAATGAATGAATGAATGAATGAATGAATGAATGAATGAATGAATGAATGAATGAATGAATGAATGAATGAATGAATGAATGAATGAATGAATGAATGAATGAATGAATGAATGAATGAATGAATGAATGAATGAAAAAACGAACGAACGAACGAACGAATGAATGAATGAAAACAAGGATGAATGGATGTATATATCATTGTTCATCTTATCTTCATCATTATCTGTTCATTCGCATCTATACATTATTTATACATCCTTATATTATACATACATAAATACATACATACATACATACATACATACATACATACATACATACATACATACATACATACATACATACATACATACATACATACATACATACATACATACATACATACATACATACATACATACATACATACATACATACATACATACATACATACATACATACATACATACATATAAATACATACATACTCACATACATACATGCATGTACATATACTACCTTACATACTTGTTCATTTTTTGTTTTGGTGGCATTTTTGCATTAAAAATATGCGATACAAATGTTGTATATGTAAATGTATGTATGTTTGTATGTATGCATGTATATATATATATATATATACATACATACATACATACATGCATGCATACATACATACATACATGGTCATTTATTAGCGTGCTGGTCATTCATATATAAACTCTTGTCCACTCAGAAAACGTCATCAATTCTGTCACGTGGGTGTTTGTTGTTGGTGGTGGTGTTGATGTTTTAACAATTTTAGTTTTATTAATTAATCGTTCATTTAATTAATTAATTAACTGATTATTTATTTAGTTAAATTGTAACTTTGAAAGCTTTATCCGTCTAATCATCTAAACGTTCATTATACAAATTCTTCTTAATACAACTCGCATGCACACTGAAAAGCAAATAGTTAAATAAAATATTTAAAAACAAAGTTAAACAAATTAGAGCTGTATGTTTGTTTGTTTGTTTGTTTGTTTGTTCGTTTATCGGTTTATATTTAAAAAAGGTACTAACAAGAAAGCTAATGTGACGTCATTTTGTTTATACAAAAAAGTTTTGTGTGTAAATGAAAATTCTGTAGATACATATAGATGAAAATATACAATACAAAAACATGCATAACCATAACCCGTTCAAAACAATGCATACATACATACAGGCATACATACAAAAGCCCAAGCAAACAGGCAAACAAACAAATGTTTATACATAAACAAACGGAGAAAAGTAAATACTTTTAAGAACAAACAAGCAATAAAACAGACAAACCAACAAACAAAACAAACCTTTCAATTAAAAACTGCCAAACAAACAAACGCTTGTTAAACTCTATGTTTGCAATTTTTCACCATAAATCATCATCATCAACATCATCATCGTCATCAACAACGTCATCAGCAGCAGCTGCTACAGCAGCTTCAACAGCAACTAGCACCCCTACCAGCACCAAAATGAAAGAAGAATCGAGCCTCATAACCACACCACACCTACTACCACCACACCATCATCATCATCATCATCCTCACAACCACCACGGCCACAATACTAATCATCATCATCACCATCAACTTCACCACAACATCCACCAGCAGCTGGTGAACAGCGTCCGTTCATGGATGCAGCCGACGCAGACGTCGTTAGCTGACCAAGCCGCAGCTCACGCAAGGTATTTTTAAATTTTTCACCCAAACTCAGAATTGAACCTGGGACTCTTAGACATCTAGTCTAACGCTCTCCTGACTGAGCTATCTAGATTCTAGACTATGTGACAGAATTAATGAAGTTTTCGAAGAGTACACAACTTTATATACGAATAACCTCCACGCCCATGTATGTATACAGTTTTTATCGCGGTATATATATATATGAAATAGATAGAGAGATAGATAAATACCCGGACTCATGCTGCTTTCTTTATTGGTATTCCAGATAGTGTTATAACATGTACAATACCGTTTTACCGTTGGCTGCCTAGACTGTTGGCTGCCTAGACTGTTGGTTGCCTAGACTGTTGGCTGCCTAGACTGTTGTGGCGCAGTTTCCTGGACTCTTGCGGCGTGCATAATAGTTCGAAATACGAAATGGAATTTCTACTCGCATGACAAAACACGCTCAACGAATCGAAAATTATACACATCTGCACATTCTAACTGCTTTCATACATTCCAATCATAATTTCAACAAAACAACAACCACCCAGAAACAACTTCACCACCAACACACTTACGCCCACCACCACCACCACACAGCTTAGGGGTATCCAGGGCCCACTACGAAAAACAACCCCCGGCAAATTTACGCAAAAGCAATTTTTTTCACTTCGTGTTGGCCCTCTTCGACAAACAAAACCAGCCAATCGAAATCGAGCGGACATCATTTGTTGACTTTGTTGAGAAAGATCGGGTTAGTATTTGGAATATTTTTAGTGGTAGCGGAAGCAGCAGTAGCAGCAACAGTGGTCGCAATAGTAGTACTACTACTACTACTACTACTACTACTAGTAGTAGTAGTAGAAGTAGTAGTAGTAGTAGTAGTAGTAGTAGTCGTAGCAGAAGCAGTAGAAGTAGTAGCAACAAAAGTTATTGTAATTAAAACATTAGCATTTGTTGTTATTAAGCATGTTCATATAGACACGCGCATATATTCAGACATACCTATAGATACGGACGCACGCATACACACATCATAGAACCACACCCATCACACACACACGCACACACACGCACAGATAAACAAACACACATGCACAAACACACACGCACAAACACACATGCATACGTACATACACGAAAGGACGGCGCATAAATATAAATGAAACACGGAGAGAACTTGTTAAGCATCAAACGAGACGTGGGGTGGTGGAGTTAAGCGCTACTACAATTACTTCTACTACTTCTACCACTACCACTGCTACTGCTACAATTACTTTTACTACTTCTACCACCACTACTACTACTGCTACAATTGCGATTCTACTACTACTACCACTACCACTGCTACTGCTACAAGTACCACTACTAACAATACCAATGATAACAATAATAAGAATAATAATAATAACAACAACAACAACAACAATAATAATAATAATAATAACAATAATAACAATAACAACAACAATAATAATAATAACAATAAATAAACAAAACTGCAGGAGAAGGACAATCAGAAAACCAACAACGGTATACACTACAGACTGCAACTTCTCTATCAAAATGGTAGTAGTAGTAGCAGCAGCAGCCGCAGTAGCAGTACTAGTGGCTGTAGTCGTACAGCAGCAGTAGTAGTAGTAGTAGTAGCAGTAGTAGTAGTAGTAGCAGTAGTAGTAGCAGTAGTAGTAGTAGTAGTAGAAGCTGTTTTTGTATAATTTTGTGTTTTTAATGTTCACATTTCGCTATTGTTGTTAAATTAACAGACGTATTTCTCAGTAAAATTAATTCATGGTCGTCATCATCTTCGTAATCATTATCATCGTCGTCATCTTTATCTTTGCCATCATCATCATCATCATCATCATTATCTTCACCATTATCACCACTATCATGATCACCACTTCATCATCATCATCACCACCACCATTATCATCATCATCATCGCCGCTAGGTCTCCGACAAGAACAAGATCTGTACATTCGTCTGATTGATTCATCAACAAAACAGGTATCATCATCATCATCAACAGCAACAATCATTATCATCATCATTATCGTCATCATCATTGTCATTATCATTCATTATCATCTGCATATCTGCATCGTGTGTTGTAGATGTTACACATTTTGAAACGAACGAGTAAACGAGTGAACGAATGAATGAATGAAAGAATGAATAAATGAATGCATCAAACATTTACTCTCTTTTCATTAATTCCCCCTCTCAATCATGTCAAGGTCATTGTCTTTGAAGGTCAAGACAAAAACCCCGAAATGTGTCGTGTGCTGCTGACGCACGAGATCATGTGTAGGTGTGTGTGTGTGCGTGATGATGACGATGACAACGACGATAATGATGACGATGGTGAGGACGATGCTGCTGCTACTACTACTACTGCTGCTGCTGCTGATGATGATGATGATGACGATGATGATGATGACGATGATGATGATGACGATGATAATGATGATGACGACGATTATGATGATGATGACGATGATGATGATGACAATCATCATCTGATTATTTGCAGTCGCTGCTGCGATAAGAAGAGTTGCGGAAACAGGAACGAGACTCCATCGGATCCCGTCATCATTGATCGGTGAGTGAGTGAGTTATGGTGATGATGATGATGATGGTGATGGTGGTGGTGATGATGATGACGGTGATGATGATGATGACGGTGGTGAGGTGTTGATAGTGATGATGATGATGATGATGGTCGTGATGATGACGATGAGGATGGTGTTGGTGATAATGAAGATGATGATCGTGATGATAGTGATTACGACGACGATGATACATTATAAATACTATCGTAATTATTACACTAAAAATTTCTATTATTCAATATTAATTTGACAATTTTGGCCCCTATTTAGTTATATTAATAATAATAATAATAATAATCATCATCATCATCATCATGACCTCCATCATCATCATCATCATGACCTCCATCACCACCTTCATCATTATCATCACCACCTGCATCATTATCATCATCACTACCAGGACTACTTCTATTTATTTCTCAGTTATTTTTCTAACTCCCATTCGCCACACTTCAATTGTAAATCATCCACTTCGTCCATTTTTATGTTTGTATTTTTATGTACGTATGTTTGTTTGCATGTATGTTTGTTTGTATGTTTGTTCGTATGTTTGTACGTTTGTGTGTATGTATACATTTCGTTTTGCTATGTTTCGTATGTTTGCTTGTATGTTTGTATGTTTGTTTGTTTATTTGTATGTTTGTATGTATGTATGTTTGTTTGTATGTTTGTTTGTATGTATGTATGTATGTTTGTTTGTTTATATGTATGTTTGTTTGTATGTTTGTTTGTTTGTGTGTGTATGTATATGTGTATGTATACATTTCGTGTTGTTTTATTTCATATGTTTGTACGTATGCACGAATATGTACGTGCGTTCGTAATCAAATTCATGGAGCAGAATTTGATTGGCTGGAAAAGATGTTGATTAATTTAATATAAGGTCGGGTGAGGCAGAGGTCAAACATATGTCACGTGATGTTTTCATTTCAAAATGGCGCCGCCCAACGAATATGAATTTTGAAATGTGTCGTTGTTGTGGTTGCTACTGCTGCAGCTGGTGTTGATGGTGTTGTTGTAGTTGCTGCTGTCTTTTTTAGAGTTTTGTTGTTGTTGTTGTTTGTTGTTGTTGTTGTTTGTTGTTGTTGTTATTGTCGTCGTCGTTATGTTGATGATAATGATTATGACGACAAAAACGACGAGGTTGATGATGACGATGGCATGAATAACGTTAATGACGTCAGCAATGACAACACTGATGATGACGTCAGCAATGATAATGACAACGTTAATTAACAGATAGCGAGATGAACCGCGCTAACTTGTCTATTCCACCGTTAATACTCCATACATCCTTCTCTCCATCCTTTTCCTTCTCCTCCTTTCTCCTCCTCCTCTTCTTCATCCTCCTCCTCTTCATCATTATTTTCATCATCATCATTGCCATCATCATTATCATCACCATCATCATCATTACCATCGTCGTCATCATCATCATCGAAACGGTTTGAAAATACATTATACATGTAGGAATGTTAATGTTAATAATGTTATTTCTCTCTTGAAATGATTTCTACAATGAATGTTCCGTCATAAAAATATAAAAATCGTATGAAAAACATGCAAAAG